TGGATGCGGCTTCAGCATTCAGTTTTGGACTTACTGAGTTCAAAAACACCAGTGAGTCAGGCGCCAAATGGAGATGCCACGTGGCAGGTTGGTATATGAGTCTACAACTCAACACAAACCTAGGCTGAGGACAGGTATCACAGGCTCCTCTTTTATCAGATGGGGCCCAATGCGTGATTCTCATTCCAGCCAGCAGAGCATCAGAAAGTGTGGGCTCCACCTAGAACCTTCCACGACTAGATCTGTCTTTCTCTCTGTCTGTGACCTTGAGCAATTCATCTAACGTTTCTGTGCGCCCCTGTCCCCAGCATAAAATTGTGATAGTTATGTCCGCTTCAGACTACCCATGTTTGAGGATCCATTAAACGGAAAATAAAACATGTGGGGCTCTTTGGAAATAAGAACTATGTTAAAACAAGGAGTTATTATAGTTGTGTGTAAGCCAATGACATGCAGAAATACAGCCCTGAGGCTCAGTATTGATTTTGGTCCCGGGTGCTTCCCATGGCTGAATAAATCTGACATCCCTCCCCTCAAGCGCTGGCCGAGCTGATGGCAGGTCTCCAGCTTCTAGCTTCTTGCCCCTGCTCCAAGGTTATGTCCTTTCTCTGCTCGGGCCAGATCCAGCACCCTGACACCTGCCTGTGCTGCTCTGGCTGCCCTTCCACCCTGGTGGGTGGTTACAGGGAAGATTCCAGTTGTAAAGTTGGAGCCTGGCCAAAGGCAGATGCCCTCTGATTAAACTTGGGACAGGCTCAGCCAGAAAAGCAGAGCTTGGATCTGCAGAACAAGGAGTTTGAGGGTGATCAAAGGAAACGTCCCCAGACAAGTAGTTTTCAAACTTTGGGGTCAGTTAAGGATTATAGAGCTGGCATCAATCATTCATTCTGTTATTGGATAAATATTTATTGAATGCCCACTGCATGCCAGGCTGTGAGATAAGCCAGGGGATATAGGAGTGAAAAAGACAATATTTTTGCCTTTGTGGAATTGATATTTGAATTGGAAGAGAGAGAGACAACAGGACAAAATAACTCTTAAGGGAACAACCGAGTACAGAGATGGAGAGTAGTGATGTGGCTGGGATGGGAAGGTCTTGTTTTAGATGGGGTGGTCAGAGAAGGCTTCAAAGAGATGGTGACATGTGAGCTGAGATTTGACAGCTAAGAGGGAGCTGAGCTGTGAAGAGCAGGGAGAGGACCATTCAGGCAGAGGGTGTGGCCAGTGCAGAGGACTGAGGTGAGAACATGCTTGGCATGTGTGCAAAGCCATGAACAGGAGTGTGGCTAAAATCCAGGGAATCCAGGGGATGGGTTGAGGGTGGATGGTACAGGGCTTTATCGGTCACGGGAAGGAGTCTGGATTTTTGTGTTAGTGTCCTGGAGAACCACTGAACAGTTTTATACGAAGGAGTAATTTCTGTTTTAAAAGATTGCTCTGACCCATGTGTGGATAATGGGTTGGAAGGGAAAGGAAAGAATCAAGGAAATTAGCCACAAAGCCACTGTAGTCCTCCAGGTGGGGAGTGATAGCCAAGTAGATGGTGTGGGGCCCATGGGTGTGGAATCAGGAGGCTGGACTGGAGGGGAGTTCGGAAGTGGAGGGGACCATCTTGCTGACAGATGGGCAGCGAGGGGCCAGGGAAAAGGAGGGATTGAAGATGACTTGTAAGTTCCTGGCTTTAGCAGTTACGTGGATGGGGATACATTTATTGTTATAGGGATGACTCTGAGCGCAGGTTTGTGGAGGGAAATCTAGACTTCTGATCTGACCTGGTAAGGTTTGACATGCCCCTGGGGCATCTGGAGGAGAGGTCAAGTATGATGTTGGACATCGAGTTGGAAATTATCACATACTTCCGGGTTGGAAATGGAACTGGAGAATCTCAGCACAGGACAGGACATGAACACCTAGAAAGGGCAGACAGCCTTGGCCTGAGCCCTGAGAACCTCTGGTATGTACATGGGGAGCAGGAAAGCCAAGAGGGATGGAGCCTAAAGGAACTTCTCAGAGGTCAAGGAGGGGAGGACTGAGGGCTTACTCTTGGTGGGGTGACTTGGAGGAGGCTGCTGATGGTAACAAGTCATGTCAGTTGGTCAGTGAGGGTGAAAGGATGATTAGTGGGGGTGGACAAAAGAATTGGAGCTGAGAAGACAGAAAGGACGCCAGGGGACAACTCTGGAAAAGTTTTGCCAACAAACTGGGCAGAGAAATGGGGCAGTAGCTACTTCCTTGGGTTTCCATGAAAGTTAGAAATGTTCTCTCCATCATTTCTACACCTCTCTTCTGCTGTGATACCCCCAGGACATGATATTGAATTACCTAAAATATTCCCATGATAAAATAAGCCGTGGATGCCATGAAGTCCCCCATATATCTACTCCTTTATCTCCCTTTGAAGAAAGCTTCTAGGAATGTAAATCAGTCAGAGTGATGTTGGAATAAGCATCTGTTACTTTTTAGGAAAAAATCATAATCGAATTTCCACACTAAACTGCATGCAACCAAATTTGCAGCACAACTTAAAACTGACTGCATCACACATGTTGGGGTATGTGGGCTGAGAAGCATGGTTCCAGACCCTGATTGGGTGCCACTCATTTGTTCACTCATCCAGTATTTTCTGAGCACTTGCTACGTGTCAGAAGCCTGGCTCTGAGCACTGGGGGCAGTGATGAACCAGCTAAATTTGGCCTCTGCCCTCAGGGAACTCCGGGCAGGCAGGGACCCAGACAAGGAATAAGTGATTTCAAGTGCAGTGACCTTACAGCTGAGAAGCATAGTGTTCTCAAGAGTTACCAGTGTCCTGGCCGGGCCCACTGTCTGAAGAGGTCAGGGGGCATAAGCCAAGAGGTGAATCATTGAGGCCTGTGTTGCAGGTGGGTGTGATCAGCAGCCCCAGCAGAAGTGAACGCCCAGTGCTAGAGGGAGCCCATCACCACTGAGGTCCATACAAAGGCCAGCCTGTCTGGGAAGTCAGGGAAGGAGAGGGGTGTGGGTGAGGCAGGGAGGCGTCAGAGGCAGCCAAAGAGGCGGGCAGGGCCAGGTGAGCTGGGCCCAGAGCTCCAGATATGAATTCAGTCTTTATCAGGAAAGCAATATGAAGAGACCAAAGTGTGCATTGAGAGGAGATGGGTGAGGATGTCGGATCTGTTCTTTTTTTTTTTTTGGAAGCTTTCTATTTTTTAAAAAAATATTTTTATTGAAGTACAGTCAGTTTACAATGTTGTGCAAATTTCTGGTGTACAGCACAATGCTTTAGTCACACAGGAACATACATACAATCTTTCTCATGTTCTTCACAATAGGTTACTACAAGATATTGAATATGGTTCCCTGTGCTCTACAGCATAAACTTATTTATCTATTTTATGTATAGTAGTTATTATCTGCAAATCTTGAATTCCCAATTTATCCCCTCCTCCCACCCCACCCCGGGGTAATCATAAGTTTGTTTTCTATGTCTGTGAGTCTATTTCTGTTTTGTAAATAAGTACGTTTGTCTTTTTTTTTAGATTCCACATATAAGTGATATGTGGTATTTTTCTTTTTGTTTCTGGCTTACTTCACTTAGAATGACATCTTCTAGGTTCATCCATGTTGGTACAAATGGCCTTATTTTATTATTTTTTATGGCTGAGTAGTATTCCATTGTATAAATGTACCACAGCTTCTTTATCTAGTCATCTGTTAATAGACATTTAGGTTGTTTCCATGTCTTGGCTATTGTAAATAGTGCTGCTATGAATATTGGGGTGCATGTGTCTTTTTGAATTAAGGTTCCCTCTGGATATATGACCAGTGAGATTGCTGAGTCATAAAGTCTATTTTTAGGTTTTTGAGGAATCTCCATACTGTTTTCCATAACGGCAGCACCAAACTGCATTCCCACCAGCAGTGTAGGAGGGTACCCTTTTCTCCACACCTTCTCCAGGATTTATCGTTTGTGGACTTTTGAATGATTGCCATTCTGACTGGTGTGAGGTGATACCTCATTGTAGTTTTGATTTGCATTTCTCTGATAATTAGCAATACTGAGCATTTTTTCATGTGTCTATTGGCCATTTGTATGTCTTCTAAAGGAGTACTCAGCTGTCTGGGGAATGGGTTGTGGTTGTACAAGAGAAAGGTGGCGGGTAAGTGTCACCTGCACCCAGGCAGGGACTGCACTAATCCCTTCCAGCTTCTTCGATCAGACTTGCCTGGGGATCTGGAAAGCAGATGGGGTTGGAGGCAAGGCCAGCTTCCAGCCTCATGACCTGCCCCTGAAGCCTGGCCTGGTTCTCCTCCCTCCCAACCTGCCTCTGTAGAAAAACCCAACATGCTGGTGCTGGAGCCAGTTCTTAAGTGGGGAGGGGCAGAAGCAGGAACGGGCTTCTGTGCAGAATACCAACGGACGCCACAGGGTCAGTGTGGGGACACAAGGCTATAGAAATGATAGAAATGGAGGCCAAAAGGCTGTCTTAAGGGATTGATGGCAGTGGGCATGGTATATAGGGCATGGGAGAGCAGAGATACAGGTGGGTTCGTGATCTGAGTTGGAGCAATGCAGAAATCCACTCACCTCTGGGAGACTTTCCTAAGGAATGCTGATTCAGCAAGCCTGGGGCGTGAGCCAGGAATCCCTATTTTAAAGAAGCCCTCCCCTCCCCCCATCGAGGTGATTTTGACTTAAATGGCCCTCCGAACTTCCTCTTGAGAATGCCTCAACGCTGGCCGGCTTCTTGACCTTAGATCTTCAGTACTCTCAACTGTCTCTCACTAGCGTGGGCCTGAAAGCTTCTTTCAGCCCTGCAATAAGATATGGGTAACCAGATCCCTGGCTGTTGGACCAGGGGCGGCGGGGCTGTCGGGCGGGCGGTACGAGCAGCTCGCGGCCGCCAGGGTCGCCAGAGGCCTCCGCTCGTGCGCTCGGCTCTCCGCTGAGACTGCCAAGG